CCGCCGGTTGTGGTCCCTAATCGCCCTATAATCGGACTTGAATTTCTTAATCTCGTCCTGGCACTTATTAAATGTCCGGGTGCAGCCACGCTGCGCCGTCATGTCCGATATGTCTGGGCTCATTTCTCGTGGTGTCGTCCGTCAACACAACGAGGAAGTTGTGGTTCAGATGTAGTTTTCAGTTCTGAGGGCGGCTCATCCACGGACCAGTCACCGGCTGCCTGCGTCAAAGTCAGCCCCTCAGAGCAGCCTGCCTGGAACATCTAAGGTGGTTCCATAAAACCTTTAACTGGTGCTGCGTGGTGTGGAACCAGAACCAGTGTGAGCTGAGGCGGTGGCAAAGCACCTGTGGTCACGCAGGCAGACACAGGAAGTGTGCACGTTTCAGCAGAGAGCTGTACTGCTGATGTTCAAAACGTCAAACATGTGACTGATGGGTTTGTTTTATGTCCTGATGCTCTAAACTTTAACCCTTCATAAACACCGTGTGCATGTGTGTGTGTGTGTGTGTGCGTGCGTGTGTGTGTGTGCGCGCGTTTAGGTGTGTGAGGTCCAACCATCTCAGAGTGACATCAGAGACTCCCAGCTCGCCTCCACAGGAGCTGTTGCAAAGGTGCGTTCTGATCGGCTCGTTTGTTCCGTCATCACAGTTTTTGAGTCCTGAAATTTGATTTTGTTTAATTTTCTGTTTTTATTTTATAATTGTCACGTTTTTAACCACATTTTCTTTTAGCAAGTCGATTAGAAAGAATAGAGTGAATTGGACAAATGGGTTTCAACAAGGCATTCATCGATTTATTCAAATTATTTTAAAGTTCACATGAAAGTACATTTTTAATGCAACATATTGTTTTGTATGAGCATAAACAGTCCTTTAATCAAATCAGCGTGATCCAGTTATATTCAACAAACGAACTGTTTTATAAATATTGAATTAAAAACTACAGCTGTTCTCTGACTTCATCGCTCGATTTTAGTTTTGTTCATGTTCGTTTTTAAACATTAGGCTGCACTCTAGTTTTCCAACATGGCCGCCCCTGTAAAACAGGATCCTGTAACTTCACTTCCTGTGACTTCACTTCCTGTAACATCACTTCCTGTAACATCACTTCCTGCGACTTCACTTCCTGTAACATCACTTCCTGTAACATCACTTCCTGTAACTTCACTTCCTGTAACTTCACTTCCTGCGACTTCACTTCCTGTAACTTCACTTCCTGCGACTTCACTTCCTGCGACTTCACTTCCTGTGACTTCACTTCCTGTAACATCACTTCCTGTAACTTCACTTCCTGTAGTCTTCCAAATTGTAGGTAATAGTGAAGATCACGTGCTCACAAAATGAAATCGTTGTGTGTTCTTCGTCGTTGTGTGTTCTTCGTCGTGTGTTCCCATACAGTGACGTGCACTCTGCATTTGACCCATGACACCTGAGATCCAGCCAGGTGGAGAGTGGGCAGCTATGTAAGCACCTGGGGAGCAGGTAGAGAATCGATGTCTTGCTGAAGGACACCATGACATGGGCATGGCAGGGAGTTGAACCTGCAACTTTCCAGTCTAAAGTTGGCTGCCCTACCACAGCCACAACAACCCCCAGACCTGGGGGGCGGGGCAATACAAAGAGAGAGACTCGTGAAGTTCTTTTGTTCTTTGCTACATGATATTTTAGACGTGTAGGACTTCAGGGACTCTGGTGAACAAACCGATCCTGTCGTTCATGGGTCAGACTTCAGTCGCCTCTCAGCTCGTGCACATCAGGTAGTTCGTCTTGGCCCGCTTCACTAGAAACCACTGTCTAGACTCTGGGACAAGCTTCTTAACATAATTATTATGTGATCATAACATAATCTCTAAATATAAATCAGGAAATGAGTCGGTTCTCTTTAGTCTCTGTTGTCTCGTTCTTTTTACGGCACAATAAATGCTCCTGTTTACAAACTGCCCTGTTGTTGGCGCCGTGTCCTCAGGAGCTGTACATCAGTTTCAATGTGATGTCACTAACAATGATGTCATCAACGATGACCTAATGTCCTCAGTAGTTGTTATGATGTCATTAACAGTGATGTCATCAACAATGACATAATGTCCTCAGTAGTTGTTATGATGTCATCAATGATGATGTCGCGTCCTCAGGAGCTGTACGATAACGGTTTCACGGAGGAGATGATGGAGGACGAGGACTCTCGGACCAACCTGATCGTGAACTACCTTCCTCAGAGCATGAGCCAAGACGAACTGAGGAGCCTGTTCAGCAGCGTTGGAGAGGTGGAGTCGGCAAAACTGATCCGGGACAAAATAGCAGGTACTTCAGCTGTTGTGTAGTATTTGTGTAGTATTTGTGTGGTACTGAAGCTGCACTGCAGCAGAGTGTTTCTTGTTTTTCTACAGTTTCAGATTTTGGTGCTGCTGCAGTAGCACCATGTCTGCCTCGTGCTGATCTTTGTCAGATTTCATTTCAGTACCTTTGAGTAGTTTCAGTCCGAGCTGCAGTTGTACTGCGTACTTGTGTAAATTCAGTAAAGCTGTGAACAGCTGCAGAGAACGGGTCGGAGGTTCTTGTCCTCTCTTCGTGAGCCTGAATATTGGATTCATTTTTGGGTCTTTTAACGATTTATTCGAACAGTTTCTTTTTCCAGGGCTGAGTGATGAGACAACAGAAACTTTATGCAGCTCTGTCTTTGTCTCATCTGTCAAACTGTCTCCAGAGGACATTGGACTGGTCCTTGTAGGCAGCTGCAGGTTTCAGTCTAACCTGAAGGTTTACAAGCTTCTTTCTTGGTCTTCTCAGTTTATGGTGGGGTAAAACTGTGGACACTGGTCAGATGGACGGGGACACTGGAGTTCCAGTTCATGGCAGGCTTGGATCTTGGTGGTTCCTGGGTCCTTCCTGAACATCTGAACAAGTTTCCTCTCTATCTGAGGAGGTCTTTAGAGTTCAGTCAAGACATCTTGTCATTAAGAAAACACAAATTGAATTAAAATACTGAAACACGTTATAAAAGAAAAACCATCAACTCTGATTCAACCTCAAACTGAATCAAAAACCAACAACAAAGATGGGTTTAATGGTCTAGAGCTAAGACTGAAAAGTCTCGGTCTCAGTGGACCAGATCCACCTTCTTCCTACCACCCATGCTGCCTTGAGTGAATTATGGGCGTGGCTTCCAGCATGGACCTGAACCGGCGTTTGTTTCTGTGGAACAGTACGAGCTAATGTAGTTTCTCTGAGCATCGTGGATTTAATTTAAACATGTAGGAAGACCAGCTGTCAGAGCTCAGACAGGACAATGTCATCATACCGCTGCTGCTGAGGACGAGCTGAAGAAGTGGCTGCAGATTACAGCTACTAGCATATTTAGCTACATCTACTAGCACATTTAGCTACATCTACTAGCACATTTAGCTACATCTACTAGCACATTTAGCTACATCTGCTAGCACATTTAGCTACATCTACTAGCACATTTAGCTACATCTACTAGCACATTTAGCTACATCTGCTAGCACATATAGCTACATCTGCTAGCACATTTAGCTACATCTACTAGCACATTTAGCTACATCTGCTAGCACATTTAGCTACATCTACTAGCACATTTAGCTACATCTGCTAGCACATATAGCTACATCTACTAGCACATTTAGCTACATGTACTAGCACATTTAGCTACATGTACTAGCACATTTAGCTACATCTACTAGCACATTTAGCTACATCTACTAGCACATTTAGCTACATCTACTATCACATTTACGTATATCTACTAGCACATTTAGCTACATCTACTAGCACATTTAGCTACATCTGCTAGCACATTTAGCCACATCTAGCACATTTAGCTACATCTACTAGCACATTTAGCTACATCTACTAGCACATTTAGCTACATCTACTATCACATTTAGCTACATCTACTATCACATTTACGTATATCTACTAGCACATTTAGCTACATCTACTAGCACATTTAGCTACATCTGCTAGCACATTTAGCTATATCTGCTAGCACATTTAGCTACATCTGCTAGCACATTTAGCTACATCTGCTAGCACATTTAGCTACATCTGCTATCACATTTACGTATATCTACTACCACATTTACGTATATCTACTATCACATTTATGTATATCTACTAGCACATTTAGCTACATCTACTAGCACATTTAGCTACATCTACTAGCACATTTAGCTACATCTACAAGCACATTTAGCTACATCTACTATCACATTTATGTATATCTACTAGCACATTTAGCTACATCTGCTAGCACATTTAGCTACATTTGCTAGCACATTTAGCTACATCTACTAGCACATTTAGCTACATCTACTA